TCGCCTTGACTGAAAAGGAGAAGTTTTAAAAAATTAGAACTGATGGGCTCGGCTTTTCAAAAGGCCATCTGAAGGCTTTCGCAATTTAGCTGGCAGGCAAAGATGGCTTCTCGGAATAATGTCCACTTCTCGTACGAGAGAGAGAGAGGGAGAGAAGGAGGGAGAGAGGAAGAGAGAGAGAGGGAGGGGGAGGGAGGGAGGGAGAGAGAAGAAGGGAGGGAGGGAGAGAGAAGGAGGAAGGGAGAGAGGGAGAAGAAGGGAGGGTGGGAGAGAGAGAAGGAGGGAGGGAGAAAGGAGGGAAGGGGGGAGAAAGGAGGGAGGGAGAGAGAGAAGGAGGGAGGGAAAGGGAGGGAGAGAGAAGGAGGAAGGGAGAGAGAGAGGGAGAAGAAGAGAGGGAGGGTGGGAGAGAGAGAGAGAGAGAGAGAAGGGCCTGCCAATATTTTATTAGGTAAACAGATTAGAATTCTTGGAAGACCAAGGTTTTGGCAGCAAACTGCCGAATGCCTGCCAAGACCGGTTTCACTCCCATAAAGCAGAAGAGGACAGGAGCAACAAATTATCCACGAGACAAGAGTTTAGTCAATGTTCAGTCCAAAATATATCCAAGCCGAATTTCAGAGATCACGATGTGACTTTCAGGGTTTAACTTTGTCCGTCACAAAGCCTGAAGAGCAATCCCACCCACTTTTATTCCTGGTGGGGCATGGCTCCGTGACTCGGCTCAATCTCTGGCCCTCCCACGCCTCTTCCGTTGCTGCGCACGCTTCTCCCTCTGACGCTGCCTGGGATCAAGCCAGGATTCATCATCCTCACTCCCTATCAATTGGATGATTGATTCATCATCCTCACTCCCTATCAATTGGTGCTCCGATATGCCTTCCTCCTGGCACGGGAGGCTGTTCCTCCTGGCCTTCGGATGGAACCTGAGGCATTGCCAGAGAGGAGGGTCCTGGAAAGGGAGGCCTTGTCAGTTCCTCCTCATCACCTTCTGAGTCCTCTTCCTCTGTTAGGACAGGCTCGGGAGTCGGGGTCACAACAACCTCTGTCTCCCTCACCCTAACCAGAGGAAATGGTGGGGACTGGCTACGCATGCCTTTAAATAATTTCGGGGACGGAGGGCTTATTTTTGGGGGAGAGCTCATTTTCGGGGAAACACGGTAAAGATTGTGCATTCCTCGAATTGTGCATTACGAAGTGGCTGGTTGAGTTAGGGTGTCTGTTACTTTAAGAATCGTTGCTTTAAGAATTGTTCAGTTGTCTAGTGTGACTCCCTCCGAAGGCCATCTGCTGCGAGACCAACAGTCTTCCTTGTGTTATTAGTTGGCCGATGGGAGAAGAACAGACTGTCTGGCTAGACAAGCCAAGGGGTCCAATCCAACAAACCATGGCTTATGTTCTACCCTCCAGGGCTGAATGCAACCACCTCCCCGTCCGAGGCGATGAAATTTTAATTTTTCACCCGATACGAAATAAAACCGGTTAAATATACACAAAGCCGCCGTTTCAAACCGCATTTAATTAATGGGGCTTTCCTTTAATTACACTTCGATGTAAAATAAATCAAGCCAAATTGAGGTCAGTCGGGGATGTTTTCGACCGACATTTGGACTCAGAAAGGTTTAGAAAATCCTCAGCGGGGTCTTTTCGGGAGGCCATTTTGGGGACTAGTCACCACTGGGAAGGCTGAGGCTTTTTTGTAGAAATCAACTTTAAAATAGGCTCTGTATGTCATACAGCTGGAATACGGATAGTGAAGCCAAAAGTAATGCATAGAAGCTTACCATGGGAAATATCCACCCTTGAACTAAGGAGAAATTTCCTTAATTTGTGAAAATAATTGATCAGTGGAACAACTTGCCTCCAGAGCTTGTGGGTGCTCCATCCCTGGAGGTTTTTAAGAAGAGATTGGATGGCCATTTGTCCAAAAGGATATTTATTTATTTATTGGTTCAATTTATATGCCGCCCTCCTCCGGAGACTCAGGGCGGCTTACAATGCGTTAAGCAACATCCTTCATACTTTTGTATATACCTGCTTAAGTAGGGCTTTTGCCCCCCCCCCAAGCGGTGTTCTTTATTATACAAAGTCAGCTTATTGCCCCCACAAACCGGGTCCTCATTTTACCTACCTCGGAAGGATGGAAGGCTGAGTCAACCTTGAGCCTGGTGAGATTCGAACTTGCAGTAATTGTAGGCAGCTGGTGCTACTTAACAGCACTTTAGTCTGCTGCGCCACCAAGGCTCTAGTGGGTAGTGGGTCTGTTGCTTGAGCAAGAGGTTAGACTAGATGACCTCCAAGGTCCCTTCCAACCCTGTTTTTCTGGAATTCAATTTAGCGCTGATGATCATTTAATCTACAATGGCCAACTGGATTCCTTTCCGAAGCCCCCAAGTTGGAAGGGGCTAGAAGTAGATGGATTGCCCTGGGGACAGTTATACTACGAGGAAGAGTCATGGCCGGCTGGCTTATTTATAATTCGTTTATTTATTTGATATTCTTGCCTCTGCCGGTTCCCAGAACGGGAAACGACGAATAAGAAAATTTCATAACCTGTTTCCCCAAATATAAGACCCAACCGGAAAATAAGCCCTAGCATGATTTTTCAGGATGCTCGTAATACAAGACCTATCCCCAAAATAAGCCCCAGTTAAGATTGTCGGCCAGATGGAGGCATCTAGTACCATATTTCCCCGAAAATAAGACCCAACCAGAAAATAAGGCCTAGCATGATTTTTCAGGATGCTCGTAATACAACCCCTACCCCCAAAATAAGCCCCAGTTAAGATTGTCAGCCAGATGGAGGCGTTTAGTAGCGTATTTCCCCCCAAAATAAGACCCAACCAGAAAATAAACCCTAGCATGATTTTTCAGGATGCTCGTAATACAAGCCCTATCCCCAAAATAAGCCCCAGTTAAGATTGTCAGCCAGATGTAGGCATTTAGTACCATATTTCCCCAAAAATAAGACCCAACTGGAAAATAAGCCCTAGCATGATTTTTCAGGATGCTCGTAATACAAGCCCTATCCCCAAAATAAGCCCCAGTTAAGATTGTCAGCCAGATGGAGGCATTTAGTACCGTATTTCCCCCCAAAATAAGACCTAACCAGAAAATAAGCCCTAATGCGACTTTTGGAGCAAAAATTAATATAAAACCGGATCTTATTTTTGGGGTATTCGATTTTCCTCTACCGGAATCCAGCAGCCATCCTTATTTGTTGTCGGTCTCCAGCAAGCTTGGAAAAATGTCAGAAGTGGCGTGCAACAGCGGATTGTTCAAACTTTTCTGACCGAATTGGGGAGCAGATAAGAATCTTCAACTTGATGGAAACAGGTTTTTCTGCGGTAAACGCGGCCAGGGGCAGATTTTGGAACCCACTCAGCCTTTGGCGGATTCCCAGCCGTGGGAGACAAGAGTGGGGGGGGAAAGCTGTGCCTCTCCGTAGGATCGTTTTACACCCGAGCTGCTCGGTTCTTAAGCTGGGTCTGACAGCACGCCTCCGACGACAACGCAGTTTCCATTTCAGCAGGCGCAGGGAGGAAAGGGTTATTATTATTATTTCCTCCCTTGCTAGACAAAACAAGCTGCCTTTTCTTTGCTTGGGTTTGTCAAGCGCTGTTTTGTTGCTAAGCCCAGCTAGGTGGCCCAGTGGCTAAGACACTGAGCTTGTCGATCAGAAAGGTTGGCAGCTCCAACTCCTAGAATACGTCTCCTGCATGACGTTGGACTAGACGACTTCCAAGATCCCTTCCAACTCTGTTACTCTGTGGTTCTGGTTGCCAATAGTCCTGCCATGTTTTTCCAGAGACTAGCAACGGGCTCTGTTGCAAATCAGATGGCTTTTCTACGTGATGCTGCTTGGTTGGGATGCTTTCTCTCCTTCCTTCCTTCCTTCCTTCCTTCTTCCTTTCTTCTTTCCTAACATTATTGCTGTGGCTTTAGATTTCCTTCCTTCCTCTCCTTTCTTCTTTCCCTCTCTCCTTCCTTCCCCTTCTTCCTTCCTTCTTTCCTTCCTTCCTCCCTCCCTTTACTTCTTCTTTCCTTCCTTCCTTCTTTTCTAACATTATTGCTGTGGCTTTAGACTCCCTCCCTTCCTCCCTCCGTCCTTCCTTTCTCTCATTCACTCTTATCATTTTCCCTTCCGTATAGTCTCTCTCTTAGTCCTCCCTCTTCCTTCCTTCCTTCCTTTTTTCTTTCTTCCTTCCTTCCTTCCTTTTCTTTCTTTGTCATTTGTTCATTCTTTCGTTCTTTCTATTCTCTTTCTCTTTCTCTCTCTCTCTCTTATTCACAAAATGCAATTGGCTTTCCAAACGCCTAGCTCCAGCTCCATACTCTGCTTTTGATCATGTCCTGCTGCAGAGGGAATTCATGACTGGGAAGACATGATAACAAGGTCAGCCGATGAATAGGCATGGCAACAGATCAGCCAATGGGAGCTGAATTGGAAACTGAAACTGGAAGGAGGCTGGGCGTGGCTCAGCTCTGTGTATGTGCTGAGAACTGAAACTAGTCTGCTGTGCTCTGCTTGTGTTTTGCTTGTAACTACTACCACATTGGAAGAAATCTGCTGTTGGTATTGTAAGTTTACTTCATGTGTTATTATGTATATAAAGAAGTTAATGAATCCTGCTGCATCAGTCTGCCTGCGTGTGCTTTCTGGATTTGATTTTTGGAACGAACTCTTGACAACCCAGTCATCGAGAATCCCAGACTGAAGAAGCGTCCTCGTAAAGTCACAAAAGGTGCTTTTTCAAGAAGCAACTGGACTCTCTTTCGTTTTTTTCCTTGAGGACGTTTTGCTTCTCATCCGTGAAGCTGAGAACGGAAGAGCCAAAGGAGTTTCTCGGATGGCAAACGAAACGTCTTCAAGGAAAAACAAAGGAAAAGTCCAGTTGCCTCTTGAAATAAGAACCTTTGGGACAAACAAGACCTGTCCTGGGGGAATGGCCGAGAATCTCCATAGACAGTCCTTATAAAAGTTGCTTATTGTCTCTTTTCAGGACCTCAATACCGCCTGGAGAAACAGAGTGAGCCCAACATTCCCATCGACTTAGATTGTACCTTGGAGAGCCAAAGCACTCTGGAATTTTGCCTCGTCCGTGAGAATAGTAGGTTGGCTCTTTGTTGTTATTGTTGTTGTTGTCCTTCTTTCTTCTTCTTCTTCTTCTTCTTCTTCTTCTTCTTCTTCTTCTTCTTCTTCTTCTTCTCCTCCTCCTCCTCCTCCTCCTCCTCCTCCTCCTCCTCCTCCTCCTCCTCCTTCTCCTCCTCTTCTTCTCCTTCTCCTTCTCCTCCTTCTCCCTCCTCCTCCTCCTCCTCCTCCTCGTCCAGGTTGGAGAAGGAGGATAGAGTTGATTTGCTAGGATTTCTTTCATAATAACTTCTCCTTCTTCTTCTTCTCCTTCTCCTTCTCCTTCTCCCTCCTCCTCTCACTCCTCCTCCTCATCTTCTTCTTCTATTTCTTCTCCTCTTCCTCCTTCTCCTCCTCCTCCAGGTTGGAGAAGGATAGAGTTGATTTGCTAGGATTTCTTTCATAATAATTTCTCCTTCTCCTTCTCCTCCTCCTCCTCCTCCGCCTCCTCCTCCTCCTCCTCCTTCTTCTTTTTTTTTTTTTTTTTTTTTTTTTTAATTTGATTTATATGCCGCCCTTCTCCGGAGACTCAGGGCGGCTTACAATGTGCTCAGCAATAGCCTTCATCCTTTTGTATATTTATACAAAGTCAGCTTATTGCCCCCACAAACTGGGTCCTCATTTCACCTACCTTAGAAAGGATGGAAGGCTGAGTCAACCTTGAGCCTTGGCGAGATTCGAACCCTGCAGTAATTGCAGGCAGCTGGTCTTAATAAGCTTAATAACAGGGTGCCTTAAACCCCTGTAGTACCAAGGCTCTTCTTCTCCTTCTCCTTCTTTTCTCTCTCTCCTTCCCTCCCTCCCTCCTTCCTTAGAGCCCTTTATAAAACACTTCAAGCTCAGGTAAGTTACGTCCTCTGGCTTCTCAGCTCACGGTGCTTTGCAGCTACTCTCTAAGCGGTTTACAGCTCTTGCTTCCCTCCCCACCAACAATCTGGGTCCTCATTTTACCGTCCTCTGAAAGACGGAGGGCTGAGTCAACCTTGGAGCCGGTCATGATCGAACTCCAAGCTGTGGGCAGAATTAGCCTGCAATGCTGCATTCTAACCACTGTGCCACCGGGGCTCAGTAATTGATGTTAAAATCTCCAATCCATGGTTCGGTACTTTGGCAAATTGCAGGTCTGTAGTTATTCCTCGCTGCTCCTCTCTTTACGATTGCTACCTTTTGAGCCTGGCATTTAAGGCCTATCTGAAAGGAGAGAGGGGGGGTGGGTGGGTATAGTCCTGGACAGCTGGTACTCCATTCTTCGCATGCCCCGGAGACATCTCCCAATTGCCGTGAGACTTCCCCGTCTAATTTTAGCTGCTGTAATTAAAATTAGCCATTTCTTCAGATAAAGGATTTGCAGCGTTAAGGCGTTTTTAATTTTTTTTTTTTCTCCTCCAGAAGAGCACGCGGTGTGCATGCGCTTACACCCCTATTCTCTTTAAGGAGCTGAACAGATGCTGGAAAAAATGAACGCCAAAAAAACTGCGTTCCGAGATCTTGTGTGTTTATATTTCAAGGGATTAAGTGAAGGGGGGAAAAGAAAAATCACATTTTTTTGAATATTATTATTAGCACACAAGAAGTCATCTTCTTCTTTCTTTTTCACCCAGCCCTTACTGGGATTGGGAAGATAAAACACAATCTCTTCCCATATTTGGGAATGTTCGGTAGGAACTGCGTTGCGGTGGGATTTTTATTTTTATTTCTTCCCCCCCACACACTTTTCCCCTCCTCTCCTTTCCCCACCTCTCTTCTCTGCTCGAGAGAAGTCCCTGCACTATTCATGGTTAATTTCCTTTTATACTTCCCACCCAGCTTCTGGAGAGTTCCTGGTTCTCATTTCGTCATTAAACCGTAATTAGTATTCAAGGGAAATTGGTCTTAATATATTAAAATTGGTTAAGTGCCTTTAGTCCTGTATCAAAGCCAATATCTTATTGGAAAATGTAATTGGGGACGCTGTGTATGTAATTAATTGAATTACAATTAAGAACTTTCATTAAGCAATATACCACTACATTAAAGCAATAAGAGGGTGGGTTGGGAGATCCAGGGTGGGTGTGTATGTGGGTCGGTGTAGTGCAGCACAACTAACCTTTATTGTTGTTTTCTTGGGGGAAGGAGGGATGTGCTCATTCTTCTGAGGCTGAGAGAACTAAGTATTATTTTCAGGTCTAAAGGTTTCCTTTAAGTAACCTCTCAGCAGTTCTACAAGCAGTAGCAGCTAAGCGTTCCTTCAGAATTTTCTTAACGTGTTTCCCCAAAAATAAGACCGGGTCTTATATTAATTTTCGCTCCAAAAGACACATTAGGGCTTATTTTCCAGTTAGGTCTTATTTTCGGGGTAATACGGTACTAAATGTGTCCATCTGGCTGATGATCTTAATGGGGTCTTATTTTTGGGGTAGGGCTTATATTACGAGCATCCCAGGAAATGATGCTAGGGCTTATTTTCCAGTTTGGTCTTATTTTCGGGGTAATACGGTACTAAATGTGTCCATCTGGCTGATGATCTTAACTGGGGCTTATTTTTGGGGTGGGGCTTATATTACGAGCATCCCGGGAAATGATGCTAGGGCTTATTTTCCAGTTAGGTCTTATTTTCAGGGTAATACGGTACTAAATGTGTCCATCTGGCTGATGATCTTAACGGGAGCTTATTTTTGGGGTAGGGCTTATATTACGAGCATCCTGGGAAATGATGCTAGGGCTTATTTTCCAGTTGAGTTTTACTTTCAGGGAAACAGGGTAGCATCCTCCAGAGAAGCCAAAACATATGAAGGACGGTTGCAGGATCCACACATTTTGGAAGTCCAAATAGGAAACACTGAGCTGTACCAAGAGGCCAGAAGTCCTCATCCTTAACTAAGGGTTTGGATCCAAGGTGGTCTCCTTCCTACCGCAAGGTTGGGCTGACTCTGAAAGCCGTTATTACGTCTGAGAAATTCTACCTTTTCTTCACTGCTCTCTAGCTTTCCCTAACACATCCTTTGAACGGCTCCCGAGAATCTAATTAGTTGTTGTTTTTAAAACCTACCAACGTGCAGACTCCTAAAACAGACAGCTCATCCCAGAATCCCTTCCCCTAGAAGGAAGATCACTTGCGGATTCGCAGAACCCATTACGCCTTCGTTGAAGGAGGAGGAGGAGGTCCGCTCTAATCCTAATAAGAAACATCTATGTCTCAGACTGCAGGGCGTATTATGACTTTATTGTTCTTGTCGTCGGGGTGGCATTGCGGGATTTTTCTCCCCTCGGGTGGGTTGTTTTGCGATTTTCATAGGCGGAATAACGTCAATGGCTTTTCTTTTTTAAAAAAAAAAAAGATTTTCAAATATTTGAGAGTAACAACACTATACAGAGGTTTCTTTTTTTTTTAATTTTATTCCAGCCTGTTTATCTAAGTTAGCTTATTGAAACTGAAAATAGGGCTGAGAAAACCAGCATTGATCGGGTGGGAAAGGACTCTGCTTAATTGTCCGTCCGGTGGAAGATATTGTGAAGTAAGCAAACACTCCCCCCCTCCCCCCCGGCAAGAATTTTTGCTTCTAAGCATTACATTTATTTCATTTGGAATTTGCACGACCTCTCTGTTGATTCCTTAAGAGTGGGCCTTGAGGCTCTTCAAGGAATGGTCTGAAATGTCCTGCGTTGTTGCTGCGGAGAATTTTCCAGCTTAATCTTCGACGTCGTCCGAGAATCCAAACTCATTCTTCACTCTGAAAATATTTCCCTCCCCTTTTGCCATTGAAATTATTCCACTGAAATGGAATAATTGGGTGTTTAACCAGTGGGTGCCTTCTCCTACTCTCTTGTTACACTCTCCCTGACAGGCGAAGCCTGGGGGGTGGAATCAAGAGAGACACCAGCCTAGTATCCTTACATTCCCACAAGAGATCTAAACCCAACCCCTCTTGAATTCCGTTGAGACTTACCTAGCGCCAATTTAGAATAGAATTACAGAGTTGGAAGGGACCTTGGAGGTCTTCTAGTCCAACCCCCTGCCTAGGCAGGAAACCCTACACCACTTCAAAACAAATGGTTATCCAACATCTTCTTAAAAACTTCCAGTGTTGGAGCATTCGTGACTTCTGGAGGCAAGTCATTCCACTGATTACTTGTTCTCACTTTCTTGGCAAAGCCCCACAAAGTTCAGAAATAGGAGACACTGACTGGAAAACAGATTTAGCAATGTTGCTTTCCTTCAAAGAGCCCAAAAGCCTTTGCTGCTCTTTTAAGCCTTATGGGAGCGGCCAATCATCTCCTGGCCTTACTCCCGAGTTGTCCCTTTTGCTTTAGCTGCTCTTGCCTTCTGGCAGCTCTGCACACACGTGCACTAGGAACAGGCTCCTCCTGTTCCTCTGCCTCTCTGCTGTCCGACTGGGGGCTCCGGAGTCTGTACATCACTCCCAGATGGCCCTGGCCCCATCTCTGCCTCCGACGCAGAGCCCTCGTCCGAGCCTTCCCCAGACTCCAGGACTGCCCCATTGTCCTCCACAGCATCCTCACTCTCCGACTCCGCTACCAGCTCTGCAGGCTGCTGGTGGACCACAACAGGGAGATAGTGGAGGATGGGCTGGGAGGGGCTATGGCCCATGAGGTCGGACACAACTTAGTAACAGAAACGGTTGTGACAAGACCAAAGCTATTCTTATTTCTATATAGGCCAAACCGGTTGCAGCGGCCTTCACCAGCTCAACGGGAAGCGTTTTATCCAGTTATCCGGTCCCTTCCGAGGCATTGAGGAAGCCAGGCAAACCTGATTTATCTTACAGATTGGGAAGTCCTGTCGGATTTTCACAGGCGGCATAGCATTGGGGTGTGAAATTGTAATGACGGGGCCATCTGCCTTAATCTCCACGTACCGATTGAGCTTTGCTTTCTGCAGCTCCCCCTCCGTTTGGGAGCGATTTGTTGCTCTCCCGAGCTTATTTTATATCCGTTCCGTCCCTCGTCCCAAATTTCTCCGAGCCGAAAGATGGACTTGGTTCGGAAGACAGGATAAAGCAGCTGGAGAATAGCAAAGACGGCAGCCTCGTTCAGGAGCCCAAATACCTGGGCCATTTACAGGAGCAGTAAATGAAATAAAAGTGGGACTAAAGCTGCTTTTTTGGGGGGGGGTTCATCCGAACTCTTAATACCCGCGGCCAGCCAGGGCAAATAATTTTCATTGTGCGTTTAAGAATCCATCCTTCCATTACGGAAAGCGAGACGGAAGCTAGGGGTAGGGAAATGGGCAACCAAAGGAAGATATTAGAGGGAAGAACTCTGTGTGACAGCCTGGCCTTCTTAAATCCCCCCCCCTCCAGCTAATCTATTCCTTCCTCCGTTTATGACGGAGGAAGCGACTGACTTAACGACGGAGTAGCTTGCTTTGTGTTTGTAAAAAGGAGACAAATTTACTCGGCTGTAAAACGAGATCTAATTCGGTATCTGTGGGACAGATGGCGCGTGGCCTGCCGAGTACTTTTCCCCCAGGGGAGGGCCATTTTGGGGGGGGGGAGGCCAGCCTCTTCAACAAGGCTGTGGTTTTCCAGATGTTTATAAGCAGGACTCGGGGTATCCCTCCCTGTTGATCAGACCAATAACAGAATGGGAGGATTGGAAGAGGCCATGGAGGTCTCTGGTCCAACCCCCTGCTCAAACAGGAGATGGAGCACTCACAACTTCTGGTGGCAAGTTGTTCCACCGGTTAATTGTTCTCACCGTTAAGAAATTTCTCCTCTGTTCTAGGTTGCTTCTCTCCTTGATTTAGTTTGACTGGCTGAAAACGCTTTCTCTTCTTGTGAACGGGGACCAGGTTGCTCAGCTCTGATTTATGATGATTATTTTATTTTATTTTATTGATTGGTTCAATTTGTTTGTCACCCATCTCGCCCTGAAGTATTCCAGTAACTGGAATACCGTTATCCTGTCTCCCCTGGTGCTTCTCTTCACTAGACTAGCCATGCCAAGTACTTGCAACTGTTCATCGTATGTTTTAGCCTCCAGTCCCCTAATCATCTTAGTTGCTACTCTCAAATCCAGATATTCTCTTCTACCGCTTGCAGCTTTTTGCCGAACCTGTTCAACAGAGGTGGGTTTCAGCACGTTCTGACCAGTTCTGGAGAACCGGTAGCGGAAATTTGGAGTAGTTCGGAGAACCGGCAAATGCCATCTCTGACGGGCCCCGCCCCATCTATTCTCTGCCTCCCGAGTCCCGGCTGATTGGGTGGGAATGGGGATTTTGCAGTATCCTTCCCCTGGTGCGGGATGGGAATGGGAATTTTGCAGTAACCTTCCCCTGGAGTGAGGAGGGAATGGGGATTTTGCAGTATCCTTTCCCAGGAGTGAGGAGGGAATGGGGATTTTGCAGTATCCTTCCCCTGGAGTGGGAAGGGAATGGGGATTTTGCAGTATCCTTCCCCAGGAGTGGGGAGGGAATGGGGATTTTGCAGTAACCTTCCCCTGGAGTGGGGAGGGAATGGAGAATTAGCAGTATTCTTCCCGTGGACTGGGGAGGGAATGGGGATTTTGCAATATCCTTCCCCTGAAGTGGGTAGGGAATGGAGATTATACAGTATCCTTCCCCTGCAGTGAGGTGGGAATGGAGATTTTGCAGTATCCTTGTCCTGCCATGCCCAGCAAGCCACACCTACGGAACCGGTAGTAAAAAAACTTTGAATCCCACCAGTGCTGTCTAACCTTTTCTTCTTCCAAGCGAGCGCCCCTGTTCCACAGTTCCCACCTTCCGACCCCCACAGACCCCCGAAACCCTCTTGCCTGCTTATTGTCCCCCTCGGCCTCCTGAGTGTCTCTGAGTGGCAATCATACTTTCTCTCTTTCTTTCTCTCTCTCTCTCTCTCTTGGCGGAGGCTCCAGAGGGGAGGAGATCTCCGAGGAAGATCCCCAGATCGACATCGCGACCGTCCAGGACATGCTGAGCAGCCATCACTACAAGTCTTTCAAAGTCAGCATGATCCACAGACTCCGTTTCACCACGGACGTTCAATTAGGTAAATCGGTTTCTGCGCTTTCGGTGCCTTTTTTTTTTTTTTTTCCCCACGGCCCTTTTTTTAACCTCTCCGGCTGTGCCCAGCGACGTAATCTGAGGACTGACCAAACTCCCAGAGATCCGCGACCTGGGATCTTCGACAAACTTGGCCGAAAGAGGGCAACGATAAGACATTGCAATTAAAAAAAATATATATTCTAGGGCTATCGTGGTTAAGGCATCAGGCTAGAAATCAGGAGGCCAGGAGTTCTTGTCCTGCCTTGAGCACAAAGGCAGCTGGTGGGGACACCTTCAGCCAGCCACTCTCTCTCAGCCCTCGGAAGGCAGCAATGGCAAACCACTTTTGATCACTTTCCCCATCCGGGGGGCGGGGAGGGAGACAAAATGTCCCTGGTTCCCCCTTCTAGCTTCATGTTTGTTTGTTTATTTATTTATTTATTTATTTAATTAATTTGATTTATATGCCGCCCTTCTCCGGAGACTCAGGGCGGCTTACAATGCGTTAAGCAATAGCCTTCATACTTTTGTATATTTTTACAAAGTCAGCTTATTGCCCCCACAACTGGGTCATTTATTTATTTATTTATTTATTTTTCGTATTTCTGTGCCGCCCAACTCTCTGAGGACTCTGGGCGGCTTACAACAAAGACAGTATGAACAATATACAATAAGAGACGTTAAAAACCCATACGCACCGCTCATGGCCGGATCTCACAAGATCGCAGTGGTGAGTTCAACGGCCCCAAGCCTGCCGGAAAAGCCAGGTTTTCACCATTTTCCGGAAGGCCAGTCGGGTGGGAGCGGTCCTGGCCTCAGGAGGTAGCTGATTCCAGAGAGCCGGGGCAGCCACAGAGAAGGCCTTCTCCCGCGGGCCCGCCAGGCGACATTGTTTAGCTGACGGGACCCGGAGGAGGCCAACCCTGTGGGATCTTACCGATCGTTGGGAGCTATGTGGTAGAAGACAGTCTCGAAGATAACCTGGCCCTGAGCCATGTAGGGCTTTAAAGGTAATAACCAACACCTTGAATTGTGACCGGAGACCAATAGGAAGCCAGTGCAGCTCACGGAGGGTTGCTGTAATGTGGGAGTACCTAGGTGCACCCACGAGCGCTCGAGCGGTTGCATTCTGGACCAACTCTGTCTCCGAACACTTTTCAAGGGTAGCCCCATGTAGAGCGTGTTGCAATAATCAAACCATGAGGTGACAAGGGCATGAGTGACTGTGAGGAGAGTCTCCCGATCCAGGTAGGGTCGCAATTGGGTGTACGAGGCGAACCTGTGCAAAGGTCCCCTTCGCCACGGCTGCCAGGGGTTAGTGTCAGAAAAGAGGCTTCTTGTCTTAGGAAAGCACAGAGTTTCCCAGTAGTCCTCATTTTGTGCCGAAATTGTGCCTCCACCGTTGAGGGCAGCTGTTTGACCACACAAACAGGAGGAGGAGGAGGAGGAGGAGTAAAGAAAGAGACACCTTCATTTGTGCGGGAATCTGAATTTCTGAATGAGCAGAGGCATTTGGGCGCCCGATTTCTTTTTTCGATAGAGATTGCTCTTTCCCAAAGTTGGGAACATATAAATCGTTTACGGAGACACTGTGTGCGTGTCTGTGTGTGTAAGAG